CCATCCATCCATCCATCCATCCATCCATCCATCCATCCATCCATCCATCCATCCATCCATCCATCCATCTTCTCTTATTCCATCAGGAATAAGCGGGCTCATCTGCCTATCTCTGGCAGTATATGGGCAAGAAGCAGGGTACACCTGGTACAGGTCATCAGTCTGTGTCACAGTGCAACAAAGCAGACCACACACACACAAACTCACACCGGACTTTTTAGATATGTTAGTTAACCTAACAGTCATGTGTTTGGAAGGCTGGAGAGAAGAGAAGTGGACAACATGTAACCTCCATGCCTGGGCCAGGAATCAAACCCAGAATCTTTTTATTGCAGGGCAACTGTGCCAGTCCTGGTGGCAAGTGTGGCCTATGCCTGCCCCGAAATGGAAAGTGTTTACTTCATTAGGGGTTTTGTTTGTGCTCTGGAGAGGCCAACTTTTTATCATTCCTATCTTTGATCTGTTAATCACACAAATCAATCAGAAAGCAAAGGCAACGTGCTAGCCAACTACACATAAAGGAGATAGGTCGTTTATTTAATTTATTTTTTGAGTTTTATGGCACTAGTAGCTTGTTTTTTCAAAAGTAGACAGGAAAGGGGGTGTGAGAGAGGTGTAGAGCTTGTTTTTTCAAGCTGACAGGAAAGGGGGTGTGAGAGAGGGGAAGAGACATGCAGCAAAGGACCACAGGCCAGATCCAAACCTGGGATAGCCACGTAAAGGAGCAAGGCCTACGTACATAGGTTGTGATGCCAACCACTGCGCCACCGAAGCATGCTCAGAGGGAACAGGTCGTTGAGGTGGCTGTGGTCACTGTGGAATGCTCAGTAGCGCATTGGGTAGCACTAGCGGCTTTCAGCAAGAAGGTTCTGAGTTAAATTTCCCGGCCCGGGGTCTTTCTGCGTGGAGTTTGTATGGTCTCCTGTGGGTTCTCTCTGGGTAGTCCGGTGTAGGTACCAGAACTGCTCGGGGCCCTGTCCCTTCTTATAACGTCAACATATAGCAACTCCTCTTGGACAAACCTTATTGCATCTGTTTCTTAAAGATCATATCTCTTTTGGATTTTCAGCATATTATTACCTATATTTGCTATTATTTTACATTTTATTGCCGATCTAAAGTAGCCAAAAGTAGAAAGCAATCATTGTCAGTCTTGAAGGAGCTCTGCCATTTAACAAGGTGACAAAAAAATCTTAGCTTATTCGTTATTCTTTTAATAAGACCTGAGGGCAGTGGAGGACAAATGGGACATCTTAAAAAATGAATAAAGAAAACAGTTATTGCATTAAAACTAACGGTTGTTGTTGGCACAAAGTTAAAGTAATGTATCTTAATATGGCTAACTGACTAAGCTAAAACAGGCTAACCTGTTAGCTACTGTGCATAGCTAGCCGCAGTGCTACCCAGATCTCCCCATTTATATCATGGTCTTGCAGTTACTTTGTTCACCATAAACAGATTTTATTCAGTTCTGCTATCGATCAGGTAAAATTTTATTGATCATTAGATACGCTAATGTTACAGATACTCCTGACTCAGCACATGGACGCTGCGTGATGCTATTATCATTGTCTAGGTAACCACAACGTTTTACATCATGTGGCAACGTTCAGCCAATCATGTAGTATAACGTCACTGGTATGTGCAGGACCTATGAGCAGATTTGGTACCTACACCAGCTTCCTCCCACAGTCATAAAACATGGCTGTTGGGTCAGTTGGTTTCTCTAAAGTTGTCCTTAGGTGTGAGTGTGTGTGTGAATGGTTGTTTGACCTGTTTGTCTCTGTGTTACCCTGTGATAAACTGGCGACCTGTCCAGGGTGGACTCCGTCTGTCCCCCGTAGACAGCTGGAGATAGACACCAGCACTCCTCTGGACCCTGCTTGGAATAAGCGTGAGAGAAAATGGATGGATAGTTTACTGAACGATTTTATTCTCTAAGCATTTTGTGAATAGTCAGATAGCTTTAAAGTGAACTTTTAAAGCACAGCCAGCCATCATCAGGTTTGTATATTGCACTAAGAGGCTTTTTAGCATAGAAAAGCAAAGGGTTTTTAATGAATTCCTTGTTTCCATGCAGGTATAAAGCATGTGCCTCAAATATATCGTATGCTTTTGTCATGGTGTTACAAAGTTCAGACCCAAATGCAGAAAACCGAACAGAGAGACCAGGGAAAAGGTTTAACGGGTTTTAATTGAAGTGAAACAGAGGGAGTGTTGCTCTGAACACTGCTCAACCGGTACTGTAAAGAAGACACTGCGGTTATTTCAGGCTCAGTGGGGAATTTGACTTTTTAACTTGGAGAAGAGGATTAGGTTGCCGACTCACATTTCCAGAGAAGTTGTTGAATCCTTGACTCCTGTCTGTGTGCCATGGTTCCAGAGTTTGTATGATTCAGTGGAGGGCGGAACAGGGTTGACCCAAAATGCGGTTGATTGTTGGTGAACGGAGAAACTGACTGCCACTCTGATTTCCTTCGGTACTTGAACGGGTCGTAGTGGAGAATAATCAATTTCTCAGTGTGAAGCTCAAACAATCTCTTGGGGAAAGTGGATCCAAACCTCCCGTTTGAACCCCAGCTCAGTTTAAAGCTCAGTTGATCCTTCCAGGGAGTGAAGGTCCAAGAAATCCAGTTTGCAGGATGACTTCCTGCCAAGAGGCAAAGACAAAAACAAAGTAAAATTCAGGTTGACAAAAACTCAGCTTTACTCAGCAAAACTCAGCTTGGCTAGAGTACCAAACACTGGCAACACTCTGGCGTCTAAGTAGTGGCAGTCAGCAGCTTAAGAACACTCCATTTAACGAGGAAACCATCAGCAGGTGTGTGAGGAGGCGGACCAAAACCAAGCGCCTCCTGGTGGATGAAGGGAGACAAACACAGAAACACAAAAACAGAGTCCTGACAGCTTTGACTGGTTGTTGCAACTAAGGTATATTTTCCAACTTGAAGCAACTGGTAATTTATTAAATTGCCTTAAAGCAACGAGTAAAGCAAATATTGGATGTTAAAGGTCATAAAAAAATCACAAATAAATGAGTGAAGCCTTTAAAAAACTAATTGCCAAAAAGAAGGTAATATTGTACTGTCACATGTTTAAGTATCCCCTTGACAAGTTGAAATGCTATGTCCTCTGTGTGTGTGTGTAAATTTTTTTAATGATTTAAAAGTAATGTAAACTTCATTGTATTGTACTGTCACAATTGCATTTATGCATCTGTACCTGATATACCTTTAAGCAATACATGTCTCTGTGACTAAACGCATACTGTCTCATGGGTCATTTGTGGCTTATGGTATATAAAGGACAAAAGATTTGTACATGACAATATGGATAAGAAAGCAGACTGCAAAAGGTAAGAACTCGCAGATGTTAAACATTTCCCTGTTGCAGGTTTATAAAATAATGTTTCTTTCAGGTTGAGACGTCACATATAGCTGGAAAGAAAAAGGCTGCAAAACCTTTTAACAGCGGAGCTACCAGAAGAAAAAATAACAACAAATATGGCTGCTAATTCTTCCTCTGTACATTTTTTTATACTGCCAACACTAGGCTTACCTTCTACAAATATTTATCCAGCATTTGTATTTGGTACACTTACATATCTTATAATTGTATTTTGCAATTCATTGCTAATACTAACAATTGTTGTGACTAAAAGGCTACATAGACCTATGTTTCTCCTGCTTGTTAATCTCCCCATTAGTGACATTTTAGGTGCATCAGGTTTTTTTCCTCACCTTGTTTTCAGCATTTTGACTCAAAACAGAATGATATCGCCTCCTGCATGTATAACTCAAGCATTTCTTATTCATTTGTATGGTACTGGAAACATTCTGGTCTTAAACGCTATGGCATATGATAGATACATAGCAATATGTCACCCACTAAAGTATAATACTATTATGACTTCAAATATCGTAATTAAAATAATTTTGTTTATTTGGATTTTAGATTTCTTGAGTATAGTCGCATTGTTTGCTTTAACTTTGAGGTTAAAGCTCTGCCGGACAAATATAGTAGATATGTACTGTAACAATCCCTCCTTTTTAAAACTAGCCTGTGGGGACATCACAGTGAGCAACATTTATGGAGTATTTCTGTCAATCATCTTAATGGTAGGTTCATTATTAACAATAGTCTACACATATGCAATGATTTTGCGTACATGTGTTATGACTAATAATGCTGATGCCAAGAAAAAAGCGATTCAAACATGTGGGACTCATTTAGTTGTTTATTTGGTCCTGCAAATTAATACTACCTTTACAATCTTTTCACATCGCTTTCAGAATGTGTCCCCTTTTCTCAGAAGGGCTTTTGGGGTGTCTATTTTGATTTTTCCACCATTCTTGGATCCAATAATATATGGACTTAAAACAAAGGAACTAAAGGAAAGTATAATGATGTTTCTAAAAAGGCATATGGGATCAACAAAGTGACTCAAGTTCTTGATGTTATTATGGTCAAAGTATTCTCTCTGTGACACTTTTTCGTTTTGTCTGAGAGCCTCCTGGATCTTATGGTAAGATTTCTTTTTTGTTGTTTTTTTGTTGTTGTTGTAATTATTCCGATACTTAGTATGGACAGTCATTTCTTTCTTTTTTCCTTTTCCTTTATATTTTCAAAGCCCACCAGAGTTTATATCAGCCTACATGACCTATTCAAATGATGCTCTGAATATAAGTAAATTTGAGTAAATAAATAAACACATAGCAGGAAAAGTGATGTACAAATCTTATACACTGAACAAATCCCCACCTCTAAATGTTTTCCTTTTTCTTTTTAACTGATTGTCTTTGTGAAAATGAAAGATTCTTTATTTGCATGACTTTTGAGACTGATTGCTGACTTAAAAATATTTAGTCCAAAGCACCAAATATTAAAGCAAATGTATTTGACTTTATTTTATGTAAAAAGTGGATATAATGCTACATTGTTTGTGTGTTTTTACTGTAAAGTAGCAATAATAATTGTAGTCATTATGAATAAAATATCTTTGTCCTGATCTTTTACAACTTAATTTTATTGCAAGTTAAAATGTTATTTTTTTTCTTACCTGTAATATTTCTTTTAATAAAAAAAATAATAATAATACATTTCATTGATGCTGTGGAGATTACTTTGCATGATGGTTTATATTTTACAAATAAAAATATAAAAGAGCATAAATATAAAGTGTCTTAACTGAGGGCATGGTAGCCAAATGTCCAATAAAAGTGCAATATATACAATATATAAAACAAGGCTTTGGTTTGGTCCACTCTATAAAGCCTTGAACGCAATGCTATTTTTGACATTTTGAATGGAAAAAGCTTCCTGCACGGGAAGCAAAATGTTTTCAAATTTGGAAACAAAGTCCAGTGGATTGTTTTTTATTTTTTTAACTTTTTTGGAATGACTATGACCTAGATGACTGATAATCTTCACCAGCAATATAATATAATATAATCCAATCCAATCCAATTCAATCCAATCCAATCCAATCCAATCCAATCCAATCCAATCCAATCCAATCCAATACAATCCAATCCAATACAATATAATATAATATAATTCTTTAGAAGGGCAGGGGGAGGTGTCTGGGGAGATGGAAGTCTTTGCTAAAACTGCTGCCCCCATGAGCTTGTCCCGGATAAGTGGAAGAGGAAGATGATAATCCATGTACTTGCCAATGCAAGAAAGTAGAAAGAAAGATTATTACTAGAAGTGATAGTGCAGAAGTAACGATTGCAGCACTTTCAAAAAAGAGGTTAGAGTGCATGTTATTACAGTAGATTTGGAAAGTGAGAGCACTGTGGATGAAAGAACTCAGGTAGCTTTCTTTCCAGCACTGAGTCTCAGTTAACCACTGAAGGAGCTGCTCAGCTCTGCAACTGTCTAGCGGAGTGTGTAAGAGATGCTAAAAGTTAGCTTAGCTAAAATATAGTGGGCAGCTAGAATAGAGCTTGCCCTTGTAACCAGCTTTTAGAGTCTCCTTTTCTCTAACTTTGTTCTGTCTGGGGCCAAGCTGATGACAGTGTATCGGAAATGGCCACTCTAGCTCTTCTATAGAGTTTTATGGGACCAGTTCAGTTTATTGGTGAGGAGAAAACCAAGCTACTTATCGACTCCCATCTCCCTTACTTGTGTTCATTTACAGGTGGACACCAAAGTCTCAAAGAACTTGTTCTTCTCATATTTAAACAATCAGGTGCAATAAGTCAATCAGAAAACACTTCTTTTTTTCCAGCTTTTTATTGTCATTACACTGTTACAAGTACAGAGCAATGAAATGTACCCTCTACATTTAACCAATCCCCTTGGAGCAGTGGGCTGCCAATGTGCAGTGCAATTGGAGCAGTGTGGGATTAAGGGTCTTTGCTCAGGAACCCAGAGAGGCAGTCTGCGGGAGTGGGGCTCGAACTCAGAAGGTCTGGATAAAAAAAATAAAAAATAGAATAAGATAAATAAAAAAAAAATTAAATAAAAAATAAGGTCTGGATTCCAAGCGCAATGCCCTAACCACTAGGCAGCCACTCTGCCGCTTAAATGCAAACATCATTTTAGTGTTTGATAATCCATGGGAATTATTCCAAATTATTCCGATAATCCATGGGAATTTTTACAGGAAAAAAAGTGTAATACTATGAATAAGACTGGGTCAAAAATAGTAGAATACTGTAACTATTAGCTAGCTAGTTAGCTTTTTCACATCTCCTTTCTCTGCTTCTGTCTCCTTGAACCCCAGTCGGCCTCAGCAGATTACCGCTCACACTGAGCCTGGTTCTGCTGGATGTTTCTTCTTGTTAAAAGGGAGTTTTTCCTCTCCACTGTTGCTTCAACCATGCCTAGTGTGAAGGATTGCATATGAGTCAATGAGTCAATGCAATCAACTGGTTTTCCTTAGATAAAAAACTTTGAATCAATTTGACTGTATGATCTAGTGAACTGTAAANACCTGTGGCCATGGAAGTGATTGGAACACCTGATTCCAATAATTTGGATGGGTGAGCAAATACTTTTGGCAAATACTATTTTCCAACTTGAAGCAACTGGTAATTTATTAAATTGCCTTAAAGCAACGAGTAAAGCAAATATTGGATGTTAAAGGTCATAAAAAAATCACAAATAAATGAGTGAAGCCTTTAAAAAACTAATTGCCAAAAAGAAGGTAATATTGTACTGTCACATGTTTAAGTATCCCCTTGACAAGTTGAAATGCTATGTCCTCTGTGTGTGTGTGTAAATTTTTTTAATGATTTAAAAGTAATGTAAACTTCATTGTATTGTACTGTCACAATTTCATTTATGCATCTGTACCTGATATATCTTTAAGCAATACATGTCTCTGTGACTAAACGCATACTGTCTCATGGGTCATTTGTGGCTTATGGTATATAAAGGACAAAAGATTTGTACATGACAATATGGATAAGAAAGCAGACTGCAAAAGGTAAGAACTCGCAGATGTTAAACATTTCCCTGTTGCAGGTTTATAAAATAATGTTTCTTTCAGGTTGAGACGTCACATATAGCTGGAAAGAAAAAGGCTGCAAAACCTTTTAACAGCGGAGCTACCAGAAGAAAAAATAACAACAAATATGGCTGCTAATTCTTCCTCTGTACATTTTTTTATACTGCCAACACTAGGCTTACCTTCTACAAATATTTATCCAGCATTTGTATTTGGTACACTTACATATCTTATAATTGTATTTTGCAATTCATTGCTAATACTAACAATTGTTGTGACTAAAAGGCTACATAGACCTATGTTTCTCCTGCTTGTTAATCTCCCCATTAGTGACATTTTAGGTGCATCAGGTTTTTTTCCTCACCTTGTTTTCAGCATTTTGACTCAAAACAGAATGATATCGCCTCCTGCATGTATAACTCAAGCATTTCTTATTCATTTGTATGGTACTGGAAACATTCTGATCTTAAACGCTATGGCATATGATAGATACATAGCAATATGTCACCCCCTAAAGTATAATACTATTATGACTTCAAATATCATAATTAAAATAATTTTGTTTATTTGGATTTTAGATTTCTTGAGTATAGCCGCATTGTTTGCTTTAACTTTGAGGGTAAAGCTCTGCCGGACAAATATAGTAGATATGTACTGTAACAATCCCTCCTTTTTAAAACTAGCCTGCGGGGACATCACAGTGAGCAACATTTATGGAGTATTTCTGTCAATCATCTTAATGGTAGGTTCATTATTAACAATAGTCTACACATATGCAATGATTTTGCGTACATGTGTTATGACTAATAATGCTGATGCCAAGAAAAAAGCGATTCAAACATGTGGGACTCATTTAGTTGTTTATTTGGTCCTGCAAATTAATACTACCTTTACAATCTTTTCACATCGCTTTCAGAATGTGTCCCCTTTTCTCAGAAGGGCTTTTGGGGTGTCTATTTTGATTTTTCCACCATTCTTGGATCCAATAATATATGGACTTAAAACAAAGGAACTAAAGGAAAGTATAATGATGTTTCTAAAAAGGCATATGGGATCAACAAAGTGACTCAAGTTCTTGATGTTATTATGGTCAAAGTATTCTCTCTGTGACACTTTTTCGTTTTGTCTGAGAGCCTCCTGGATCTTATGGTAAGATTTCTTTTTTGTTGTTTTTTTGTTGTTGTTGTAATTATTCCGATACTTAGTATGGACAGTCATTTCTTTCTTTTTTCCTTTTCCTTTATATTTTCAAAGCCCACCAGAGTTTATATCAGCCTACATGACCTATTCAAATGATGCTCTGAATATAAGTAAATTTGAGTAAATAAATAAACACATAGCAGGAAAAGTGATGTACAAATCTTATACACTGAACAAATCCCCACCTCTAAATGTTTTCCTTTTTCTTTTTAACTGATTGTCTTTGTGAAAATGAAAGATTCTTTATTTGCATGACTTTTGAGACTGATTGCTGACTTAAAAATATTTAGTCCAAAGCACCAAATATTAAAGCAAATGTATTTGACTTTATTTTATGTAAAAAGTGGATATAATGCTACATTGTTTGTGTGTTTTTACTGTAAAGTAGCAATAATAATTGTAGTCATTATGAATAAAATATCTTTGTCCTGATCTTTTACAACTTAATTTTATTGCAAGTTAAAATGTTATTTTTTTTCTTACCTGTAATATTTCTTTTAATAAAAAAAATAATAATAATACATTTCATTGATGCTGTGGAGATTACTTTGCATGATGGTTTATATTTTACAAATAAAAATATAAAAGAGCATAAATATAAAGTGTCTTAACTGAGGGCATGGTAGCCAAATGTCCAATAAAAGTGCAATATATACAATATATAAAACAAGGCTTTGGTTTGGTCCACTCTATAAAGCCTTGAACGCAATGCTATTTTTGACATTTTGAATGGAAAAAGCTTCCTGCACGGGAAGCAAAATGTTTTCAAATTTGGAAACAAAGTCCAGTGGATTGTTTTTTATTTTTTTAACTTTTTTGGAATGACTATGACCTAGATGACTGATAATCTTCACCAGCAATATAATATAATATAATCCAATCCAATCCAATTCAATCCAATCCAATCCAATCCAATCCAATCCAATCCAATCCAATCCAATCCAATACAATCCAATCCAATACAATATAATATAATATAATTCTTTAGAAGGGCAGGGGGAGGTGTCTGGGGAGATGGAAGTCTTTGCTAAAACTGCTGCCCCCATGAGCTTGTCCCGGATAAGTGGAAGAGGAAGATGATAATCCATGTACTTGCCAATGCAAGAAAGTAGAAAGAAAGATTATTACTAGAAGTGATAGTGCAGAAGTAACGATTGCAGCACTTTCAAAAAAGAGGTTAGAGTGCATGTTATTACAGTAGATTTGGAAAGTGAGAGCACTGTGGATGAAAGAACTCAGGTAGCTTTCTTTCCAGCACTGAGTCTCAGTTAACCACTGAAGGAGCTGCTCAGCTCTGCAACTGTCTAGCGGAGTGTGTAAGAGATGCTAAAAGTTAGCTTAGCTAAAATATAGTGGGCAGCTAGAATAGAGCTTGCCCTTGTAACCAGCTTTTAGAGTCTCCTTTTCTCTAACTTTGTTCTGTCTGGGGCCAAGCTGATGACAGTGTATCGGAAATGGCCACTCTAGCTCTTCTATAGAGTTTTATGGGACCAGTTCAGTTTATTGGTGAGGAGAAAACCAAGCTACTTATCGACTCCCATCTCCCTTACTTGTGTTCATTTACAGGTGGACACCAAAGTCTCAAAGAACTTGTTCTTCTCATATTTAAACAATCAGGTGCAATAAGTCAATCAGAAAACACTTCTTTTTTTCCAGCTTTTTATTGTCATTACACTGTTACAAGTACAGAGCAATGAAATGTACCCTCTACATTTAACCAATCCCCTTGGAGCAGTGGGCTGCCAATGTGCAGTGCAATTGGAGCAGTGTGGGATTAAGGGTCTTTGCTCAGGAACCCAGAGAGGCAGTCTGCGGGAGTGGGGCTCGAACTCAGAAGGTCTGGATAAAAAAAATAAAAAATAGAATAAGATAAATAAAAAAAAAATTAAATAAAAAATAAGGTCTGGATTCCAAGCGCAATGCCCTAACCACTAGGCAGCCACTCTGCCGCTTAAATGCAAACATCATTTTAGTGTTTGATAATCCATGGGAATTATTCCAAATTATTCCGATAATCCATGGGAATTTTTACAGGAAAAAAAGTGTAATACTATGAATAAGACTGGGTCAAAAATAGTAGAATACTGTAACTATTAGCTAGCTAGTTAGCTTTTTCACATCTCCTTTCTCTGCTTCTGTCTCCTTGAACCCCAGTCGGCCTCAGCAGATTACCGCTCACACTGAGCCTGGTTCTGCTGGATGTTTCTTCTTGTTAAAAGGGAGTTTTTCCTCTCCACTGTTGCTTCAACCATGCCTAGTGTGAAGGATTGCATATGAGTCAATGAGTCAATGCAATCAACTGGTTTTCCTTAGATAAAAAACTTTGAATCAATTTGACTGTATGATCTAGTGAACTGTAAAGTGCCTTGAAATGACATGTGTTGTGAATTGGCGCCATATAAATAAAATGAATTGAATTTAATTGAATTAAAACACAGCAAAAAAAGAAAAAAAAAAATTGAGAGAAATGCACAAGTCTCTTCAATGCTGTCTGTTGTGATAGATTGTTCGCATGGAAATCAGACTACCATTAACTCTGAACCAAAGTTTAAAGAAAGCTGACCCTTGCTAGTGGTTCCAACGCTCCAATGCAGATGTAGGGACAACGAAGCCTTTGTCTGAACTTTGTCTTAAGGCTGGTTTATACTCAAAAACCAGGTGTGTCATAGTTAATGCAGATATGTCCAAGCCCCTTCCGCAGACACTCTGGTGCATCTCTCTAAAATTGTAGGTGACTGCAGACAGTGTTGCAGACAGGAGGTCTCCGATTGGTTAAATCGACGAACATAGCTCTGGAACCCATCCTCTTGGAGTAGGTGATGAAGCTCTGAAACTCTAAACTTAAGAATAAGGCTAAGTTTAGTGTATTTTGATTATTTCATTCACATGTAGGTAACAACCAAAGTCATGAATAAAGGGAAGAAAAACAAAAATTTATCAAATCTGCCCCAGTTTAAAAAATATATATATATATAATAATAATAAATAAGTGAATCCAGAGAGGCCAGACAAAGATGTTCTCTGGTTTTATTTTGTAAATGAGGTCAAGCCATTCCTTTAATTGATCTGCCATTTTACAAGATACTGCAGAAGAGAAGAGCATAGGTCCCTGCAACATGCATCAGACCCTTTACGAAGCACTTTGCTAACACATAGGTGGACATGCATCAATGATGAAGTAGATGAATGCTTCTTTGCAGCTCAAAATATGTTCAATCTGAGCGGTGCAGTTAAAAGTCTGAAAACACAGTGTTGGAGCTATTTATTCTTTATTTCTTTATCCATTTGAATTGTGTTTTATCAGTCTAGTTTTCCTGTACTGCCCATAATCATATTCTATCTCATGTTAACATTCATCTTATGAAGGCTCTACAAGGAGGTAGAGCCAACATAACTCACTACTGTTTACACATTTTCCTTACCTTAATTAGGTAAGGAAAATGTATAATATACTGGTCTATCATTAGGCAGAATCAAAGCTGTTCTTAACTTTGTTCTTTTTCTATACCTATGTCTATTTTCTATACCATAGCGTGTAACCAGCATATTGACCTGAGAATTGATGATGTCTGTGGGTTACAGACCCTGGTTGTGTGCATTGAAGTGTATATGAAAATAAAGTAATGAATCTTAATCTATTTATCTATTTTTATTTATTGTATTTTAAATAGGCCGATTTAGTCCAAAATAAACAAAAAATATTTTCCCAGCACCCCCTGTTCAAAATGACTTCCAGCGGCCCTGCTTAGGATAGGTGTTGCCTTTTTATCTCCTAATAATCTGTTGTGGAGAGTGTGATCTCTTCTGCTGTCATCTGCTGGGGGTATAGAATCAGAGCAAATGACTGAAAGAAGCTCGACAAGCTGATAAAAATTTTGGTTTTACTCTGGTAAAACCTTTGGAACCTCGGGAGATGATTTTTCTTGTGAAACGTGAACCTTTTAGAAAACTGTTAAATAACAACAGGTCTCCAAAGGCTTTTCTAGATTGGAAACAAGACAGACCGCTAAAGAAGATTATTACAGAAGACCAGTGAAGCTATTAACATGAATCTATTTGTTCAGAAAAAAAAAAAACATACAAATTAAAACATTTAAATGTATTTTTTGATCAGTAATGTACTTTTGAAGTAAATTAAATTGAATATAAATTTAAATATGCAATGCCCCCATCTACTGTAGATGATACAGCCCGGTCCAGAGAATTACTATGTAAATCCTGGAACTTAACCTGTTTCTTAAATAAATTATTCCCACAAGTTTAGAGAATTTAACTTGTATGGTCTGGAAGAGATTCATTTAGGTTTTTCTAGAATTAAAACACTCACTATGCTGTTTATAGCATTAACTGTAGGATTTTACAGCTTTTCATGTGTCTTAAGTGCTTTATTTCACCATGTCTGTCATTGAACTTAACAATTCTCTATGTTTTACCACTTTTGCACAATCGACATCTTTAAATCCTACAGTTAGAAACTCTGAATCTAACTACCTTGCATTGGCAAAAATGGGATATTAATATTTCAGATTTTGACTTTGATGAGCTTTTAAAACTATTTCAAAACCAATGATTATTTTTATTTACTCTAACATGAAGGCATCTACTGTAGCTACTAACTGGTGTCATACATTGTGTTTTTGTTTGCCTTTTCAGGAAACTCCATGGGAATAATTGCGAAAGAAAAACTCTTGGAAGGCCCGATCTCTCCTGAGAAGCGAATGTTTTTCAGCCATAATTGCACTTACTGTATAAAGATGCTGTTATTTCTCAACCCCTCATCATTTAGGTGTTAAAAGGATGTGTGATCACTCAGCTGAGCAACTAGCCAAAACATTAATGGGTTATAGTTGGCAAACATATTTGTTTTGTGGTTGCTGCCTATTTCCTGTTTTTTTTTTTTTTGTTATTGAAAGTGCAATTTTAAAACATTTGGAGGTTTGTACAAAATAATATATGAATTGTAAGGTACAGCTTCATAGCTTAAAATGTGGTGAAATTGTTTGTTAAACTGATACAGTGTATTTATAGCTTGTAATGCATGAATGACTTCTATTTGTTTACATAAATCGCAGACATAAAATGGCTTACATATATAACACTTCTGTTTTACAGCTAAATGGCTATAACATACCTTATGAAGGTGTCTTCCCTGCATTTCTTTTTGCTAGCCTAAACTACATGATCATCCTCTTCTGCAACCTTACACTAATTCTTACAATTGTGATGAATAAATCCTTACATGAGCCAATGTATCTCTTCCTGCTTAACCTTCCTATCAATGATCTGATTGGTTCTTCAGCACTCTTTCCACAGCTCATTAAGGAGATACTGGTAAACAGCAAAAGAATGGAGTTCTCAGCTTGTGTTGCACAAGCTTTTTTCATCCATATCTATGCTGCTGGTACAGTGTTCATTCTCAGTGCAATGGCCTATGACAGATACGTTGCTATATGTCATCCTTTACGCTACAACACTGTTATGACCAATGCTCACATTATGAAGATAATCACATTAGTTTGGTCTTCTTGTGTGATTTTCATAGCTGTGCTTTTTATTCTTCTTTTACGTTTGCGCCGCTGTAGGTCCAAACTGTCAAATCCCTACTGTGATAATCCAAGTTTGCTGACTTTGGTTTGTGAAGATAAAACCATTAATAACATTTATGGCCTTTTTATAAGCGCTCTTTCGCAGGTGATTGCTAACGGTATGGTTTTATATACATATCTACGGATCCTTATTGCATGCTTTAGAACCAGACAGTCAGACACTAAAGCAAAAGCTCTGCAGACATGTGCTACCCATCTGTTTGTCTTTCTTTTATTGGAGTGTTTGGGTCTTTTTACCATCATATCATACAGAGTAAAGGACGTTCCGCCGCAAATAAGAAGATTCCTCGGGGTGTCAACATTAATTTTCCCTCCAACGTTAAATCCTATCATTTATGGACTAAAAACAAAAGAAATACGTGACAAAGTCATTAACTTTCTCAGAATGAAAATAGTTTATCACTAATGAACACATCTCCAAACCTGAACTTATGCATGCTGACACATTTGTGTCGTTTTCTATCCTATGTCATATTCACATGACTTGTTGGTTTGCTAATTTTTCACAAAATTAACTGAAGTTGATGCTGAGAAATAAAGAGCTTAGGCTCTATTGTCTATTTAGTTCTTTGAAATCTTTCTTCTTCAAACAATTCTTTTTAGCAGTATGTATGTTTTTTTTTAAAATATATTAATTTTACATTAAAAAGTAAAAGTGTAAGAAACTTTCCCCTTTTTTTTATTGCCAAAAATTCTTAACTGTGTTTAAGAATATAAAATATGTTACACCTGTTTGTTTTGTAAACATATGTGAATCATTGATGCAGTCTAATAAAGCCTTGTGGTAGTCTGTATATGTGAGTGCTAAAAGATTTTCTTTCATTTAGTTTCTCCCTCAATACAAATAAAAGGTTTGCTTTTCGCTGCCATAAAACCATGTAATAATAATATT